CCGCGGCCCCGGGCCCCCGCGGGGGCCGCCGTCCCGTAACCGGGTCCCGCGGGGTTGTGCGTCCGCAGTGCTCTACGACGGCTGCCCCAAAACCCTGAAAGCCGGCGTGTGGTGGCCCCAGACCAAGTTTGGCCTCTCTGCTGTGGTGCTGTGTCCCAAAGGCTCCTTGGGTGAGTGCGGGATGTGGTGGGGAGGGGAGCAGCTGGCTGCAGCGCTGGGGCTGCAGGAGGCAGCATCTCCCCCTGCTAGCGCTGCCCTGGTCTCGCCTAGCTGGGCTGGAGGGCTGGGAGAAGGAAAGTGCAGGAGGAAAGTGCCCCAGCGCGGGGAGAGCCGGGGGTCACGCGCAGAGCTGGGCGCAGGCTCTGTGTCCCCGTCGTGTCCCCAGCGCCCCTTGGTTGCAGCAGAGCGGAGCGGGGCTCAGGCCAGGGCAGCAGCCTGGCCCTGCGCTGCCCGCCCGGCAGGGATCAGGGCACCGCCGGCTTCGGTGAGCGTCTCGGGCAGGGCTCAGAGCCCGGGCTGGAGGCGGTGACGGCCAAGGAGCCAGCAGGGTGAGGGGGGCTGGAGGGCCGCGCGAGCCCCAGGGGACAATACAAACCCTGTCCTTCTCCAGCCGTGCGCCCCGGGAGGAGGCAGCTCTGGCTCCTAACTGTTGTCGCTTCTCTCCCCGGTTCTCTCGCCCTCCGTGCGCAGGTTTGCGGGGTGCAGGTAAGGTTGCTGCCACCTCCTTCCCTCTGTGTCGCAAGGCTGCGCCGCATGGCTGCCCCTCCCTGCTCCCTGCCTGGCGTCCCGCACACCCCTGCCCCTGCCGCTCCTGGAGCTGCCCAGGGTCTTCCCAACGCTTTGCCTGGCCTCAGCGCTCCCACGTGCTGCTTCCCCGCTCCCGGCACCCTCGGCAGCGCAAACCCAGCTGCAGCCGCATGCGGCCCCTGCCACCCGCTGTCCTGAGCTTGCAGCCCTGCTCCGAGCGGCCCCGCGCAGCGCGGCGTGCGCTCTGCTCCCGCTGGGATGGATCCGGGCTGGCGGAGCTGGCAATGCGCAATGTGCAGCGGGATGGGGAGCGGCGTGGGGGGTGCCCGGGGAGGGAGGAAGCTGGGATTGAGCTGGGAGAGGGGCAGGAGCTGCTGGGCGCCCTCCGTGCCAGGGCTGGGCCTGCTGCCCCGCTCGCAGGAGGAGGTAGCTGGAGCCAGGCCCGGATCCTGCCTGGAGCGCAGCAGTGGAGCTGGGCATGGGCACTGGGGAGGAAAAGCTCTTCTCTCCTGGGGAAAGGCTGGCACCGCGGAGGCTGCTCCCAGCTGCCACGCTGCTGATCCCAGCGTTGGGCCAGGAAGGGCATGTGGAAGCTGGAGAGGGCAGGACAGAGCAGACCAGTACAGGAGCGGGGGCTGCTCTGGGCTTCCTCTCTCTTTGCTGGGCTCGTCGCTGCCGCCGTGCCCTGCGCTGGTGCCGTCCCTGGGGCCGGGCTCGCAGCCCTGCTGGGTGCAGCAGGTCACCCTGTTTCCCTCGGGGTCAGCATGGTGATGCTGCACGTGCAGGACATGCTCTTGGCATGGTTGGTAGCTGATCCCTTCGCTGCTGCTGTCTGTTGTTGTGCAGCGGGGCTGGGACCCCGAGCAGGGGTTGGGGCCTTGGCTGCTCTGCAGCCCCGCGGCTGAACAGCTCCTGCTGTCCCTGCCGGGCTCCAGGGGCTGCTCCCCAAGGCCGCTCTCCAGGAGAGCAGCACAACCTCGGCAGGCACCGCAGGCTGGCGGCCAGGGGACACCCAGGGCCAC